ATAACTCTCATTTTTGAGACAAAATTCAATGTTTCCAAGTAGCACTCATTCTAAGCAATGTTGTTCTAATAATTAGAAGAACTTCACATCGGTCATTTACAATTCTGATAAAGTGCTGTGGCAATGGAAATGACCGAACCGTGCAACAACTTTCTGACTGTCCTTTGGTTTGGTTTTGTCATTTCCTTACAAATCTGTATAGAAGTTGCCTGTTGACATTCTATAGTGTGCAACTTCTAACAATGAGAATGGTTTTCAGAATTTTTTTTTTTTGGTGTTTTTGAGACAGGGTCTCCCTTATGGCCTCCGCTGTCCTAGAGCTCACTATGTAGACCAGGCTGGCCTTGAACTCACAGAGATCTGCCTGTCTCTGCCTCCTGAATGCTGGGTTTAAAGGTATGCACCACCACACCCGGAGACTGGTATTTTTAAAAGGTTTTTTTAACGGACTTCAAGTAATCCCAGCCCGAGTCCCTCCTTTTAGCCTCTCAGATACTTAAATTTGGCCCTAAGTGTTCTTTGTCACTGTCTCCCCAACTGCTGCCACTTCTTCCTGACTTGGCATCAGATCAGACCAACCAGGACAAATCTCATCTTGGCGATGAGACACGAGACACATTTAAGACCAAGCCATGAGATGGCTAATCAGATATGACTTCAAAGAAATTGTACAGAAGAAAAGGTCAAAGTGGTCAGATATAAACAAAGTCATGGTGGACCTAATGACACGTAAAGTCAGAGAACCTGAATTTGAGGCCAGCCTGGATTATTCAGAAAAGCGAATACAGAGTCACCTACACCAGCCTTTCAAAGCCGGCTACAGTCAAGAGGTTACAACAAACACTCCTTTTGAATGGTTACCTGACACTTTTGAGCTGCTTTGGCCTTTGAATCCTACTTGAATTATTCAATTTATGGTTTTTCTTTCAAACACAATATTTTGGGAATTTCACACAGATCCAGCAATAGATAGCCCAGTATTCCAAATCTACTAATAGATGGACAGAATGTGGGGCAATGTTAACATAGTTTAATGGTTAAGAGCACTGACTGCTCTTGCAGAGGACCCAGCACCCACATGGCAGCTAACAACTATCTGTAGCTCTAGTTCCAGGGGATTCGATGCCGTCTTCTTACCTTCATGGGCATTGCATGACATGGGTACAGTTACATACTTGGAGGCACTGCACTCATACACATAAAATAAAAATAATAAAATATTTAAGGAGTTGTAGAGATGGCTCAGCAGTTAAGAACACTGGTTGTTCTTGTAGAAGACCGGGGTTCGAATCCCAGCACCCATGTGGCAGCTAAAAACTGTTTGTAACTCCAGTCCCAGGGGATCCAACAGCCTCTTCTGTCCTCTGTGGGCATTGCATGACATGGATGCACTTACCTACATGCAGGCAATACACACATACACATAAAATTTTAAAAAATGATAATAACTTTTAAAAATTAAAAAATTATTGTCTCCTAGTTTTGCACTAAAGCAGCAAGCAAGAGACTCACAATTCAGGTTACTGGGTATAAAAATTTACAGAAAAAAATTTTAAGACTCTAGGAAAATACAGTTGAATATAGACATTTTTTGTAAAGGGAACCTTAAAACAACCATGAAATGCTTGGCCAGGCCATTTAATTTGAATTCTACTCTCCATCCCTTCCACACTGTAGTTTCCTTTCTTTGTAACGTGCCATTTGTTGAAGTACTAGGAAATTTACTTTTCTCTTAGGTTGGTTGTTTCCTGTGTGCATCATAACTAGACGTAAGCTCTCCAAGTGCATGATCTTTGTGTGCTTTGTTTGTTCCTGTATAGCCATTGCTTAGAATCGTGCTTTCTACTTATTTGTGGGTTGATGATTTGTGGTTTCAGGTACAGAGATGAGAAATATTAATGCTCATTTGATGATAGCATTTTTTTGGTGAAGTCCTTGAATGCCTGTTTGACCTGCTGGTTCCTCAAGGTATAAATAAAGGGATTCAGCATGGGAGCAACAGAGGTGTTAAGCACTGCGACCCCTTTGTTTAGAGCCACACCCTCTGCAGTAAATTAATCCCAGGAAAGACAGAAAAGGCAATTAAGACAGAGACAGCTCAGAAAGTCCAGATTTTTTATATACATAAAAATGCAACTTCCGTAGGAAATGGAAACCACAATCACATGGGAGGAACATGTAGAAAAAGCTTTTTTCCTTTCCTGGGCAGAGGGGAGCTTCAGAATTGTTCTAAGGATAAGTTCATAGGAGAGAATCACCAAGGCCAAAGTTAGTATGAGTGTGAACACTGCTAAAAAAAAATGCCATGAGCTCTAGGAACCTTGTGTCTGTGCAAGCGATCTGCAGCATGGGGGAAGAGTCACAGGTGAAGTGGTCAATGATGTTAGAGTCACAGAATTCCAGCTGGAGACCCATAATCACTGGGGGGGAAATGATGACGAAATCAGCTGACCAGGAACCGATTACAAGATGATTGCAGACTTTGTGGTTCATGATGGCTGTGTAGTGGAGAGGTTTGCAGATAGCTACATAGCGACCATAGGACATTGCAGCCAGTAGAAAAAAATTCTGTTGATCCCAGATGGATCAGAAAAAATACTTGTGCCATGCAAGAGTTATAGGAAATGGCTGTGCTTCCTGTAGCAATGCTAATCAGAAACCGAGGAATGCAGAGAGTTGTAAATGAAATTTCTAAGAAAGAGAAATTCCTGAGGAAGAAATACATGGGAGTTTTCAAGTGAACATCTGACAGTGTTAACATAATGATGGTCGTGTTTCCACTTACACTTAGTAAGTATGTGATCAGCATAAAGCAGAATATCACAACTTGGAACTCCGGGTCATCTGTAAGTCCCAGAAGGATGAATTCTGTAATTGCTGTCCTATTTGGCATGGCTGAGCTCTGAATTTGGATAGGTCTGCAAATTAAAGGAACAATGTCAACTCGATGTGATTTCAAATACATTTGTAATGTTCTTACTTTGCACAAAGGAAGCCTTTACTTGATGCTTTTAACAAGAAATGATAAAACGGCTATTCATCAGAATTGAAAGTTCATATTGGGTTTGGGGAGGGAAAGGGTTAATCTGTTTCACTGAGCTTGAGAAACATTAAGAAAGTTATAAAAATATACATGTAGAAAATTTAAAAACATAATGTCCATAAAGTCCAATTTATAATTGTCATTAGAAGCTTATTCTTAGTCAAAATTCAATCTTTCATTATATAACCCATTCTGACCTTCAATTCTCTAACCTCCTGGTTCCCTCACCATTTGAGATTATAGGCATGTCTCATTATATCAAGAAAACCTTTTTGTTTTGTTTAGTTTTTGAGGCAGTCTGCCTCTGTTGGTTATGGAGTCTAGAACTTGCTTTGAAGTTCAGGCTAATCTCAAAGCTGTGATATTTCTCTTAGCCTTCCTAGTGATGAGATCATAGACGTATACAACTAAATCCAGCACCCTGAATAAGTCCTTAAATTCATAGAAAAGAATTAAACAGAAAAGACTATTGACAGAAAAGGAATTGACATCCATCATCTATCATCATACAAAACTGACGATATTAGCCCTTCTTTGAAGTTGAAAGAACTACAGTGTCATCCCAAACTATGTCAGAATATTGAACTTTCTTTTTGACTTCTCAAATATGATCATATATATAAAAATGAAATATCTCAGATTAATCCCATTAAGATTAAATATATCATTTCAAAAAATGTTTTGCATGACAGCATTTATGAAGCTCTAATTTGAAAAATAATAAACTCATCACATTTTGGTTTGAGAGTATGCCAAGAAAAGGAAATAAACACAGTGACGAAGGCAAAGATAGTAATAATATAGCATAAATTATAATACAGCATAAAATAAAACAATTATTATTGTCATTATCATTGTAGGAAAGATCAACCTACAACCTTCAGTCTATGCCCATCAACCCTCCTACTAGAATCTGCAAAGAGATTGGATTTGTAGATGTGAGAATTGATGAAGAGCCAGCTACGTACAAGCCTATGGCTGTATATGCAGTGTCAGCAGGCGGACTGCTGTCTGTGATTGTATTCCATTGCATCACATCAGATGTTCAAAACAGACGCAACTTCAATTTCACTTGATAGATGAAAGAATAAATCATATTTGAATAATAACTGTGCAACCTGATTAGTGCTCATATCAAGATTTATTTTAACTCTTGGGACTCAACTCCGCATCTATGCACTGATTTTTCAAATTAATCAATTTTAACAAATAGTTATAATAGCAGTTGTATGTGTCAAGAAAATGAAACTTTTAGATATTGAGAATTTTAGAAATCCACCGACTAATGTACTTGACCTCTTACAGATAGTTTTCAGAATCACCTAAGTATGATGTACTGTTACCAGTTCTAAGAAGAAAGAAATCTCAGTTCAATAATTCTCAAGTGAACCACGAGGGTAGTCTGAATTAATGAGCAGAGTTAAAGTGCATGATGTTATGAATGGTGCATATGACACTGGAATGGTTTACTGTGCCCCCTGTCTGTTAGGGTTGTACTAATACCACTGAGGTGTATCTAAGAAAAGACTGCTAACCTTTTCTGTGACAAATATTGAGCATTTCTGAACTCAGCTGTAACAATTTTAAGAGGATCTAGGCAATAAAGGAAATCAATTCAAGAATCAACAAAATGATCCTATCACATATACCAAAGAGGTTTATTGTAAAGAACTCTGACTTAAAATGATAAGTAACAGTGTTGATATAAGAAAAATATGCTTACTTTTAGGTTAGTCCAGGCATAACTTAAACTTAGTTCTCTGACTATCCAAAACTTTAAAAAACTATTTAGGTAGATTAGGTTTTTTTCATGTCTTATAATTTTGCTTAAATTAAGTCATTTCTGTACAGCCACCCACTTATGAAAATTTAAACATCTTTTCTCGATACCACTTGTGAAATCCCTTTCACTTCTCCATCCAAAGGTCAATCACTGAGAATAAGAAATACCCATTTATCATACTTCCAATAGTTTTTGGAATTCAAAGTCGTTAGTCTCATAACTTTTCTGATGTTGTTCAATGATACAGATTTCCCCAAAAAACCTTTACTTGGAATGGAACAAAGACATTTTGTGTGTTTGTGAACAGAATGTTTGAGTTTGTTCTGGAGGGAAAAATATTAGACACATCTCTGGAGACAGAAAAAACAATGCATCTACAACTAATTAATTTTGCCAACATTTCAATCAGTTCCATTGGGAAACATCAGTTTTTGGAGAATAATAATGTCAGAAATCATATGAAGCAAAGGGAAAGACTGACAAAACAAAGACTTTTCGTAAGTAATTGGTTCAAATTATCCTTCCAATTATTATTTGAAACAAAGAGAGATTCACTTTGACTCTCCAGTAACTATTAATGAACAAATAAGAATTACGAGATTGGAATATATTTGTGGCCTGAAAGAAACCTCTTCTAGAGAATTCATAGCACAAATAATAAAGAAGAAATATTCTTCACGGCAGACCTGAAGCTGTTTGGAGAAGACCATGTACTCTACTGGAATGAATTAGCACACTACTACAGATTCCTTAAAATAAATGCATGGCACTTGAACATTTACAGAGGCTAAAAGACAAGGGTGAATCATAATTACTTTATAGTTTAATTTGAGATAAGTCATTGACATAATTCCAGGCTTTTAGCTAATGTAGGCTTCTGAATCTTAAGAATGTCAGCCCCTGTGAGTCAATCACTACTATGACAATCAAAGCTAAAAACACTACATGCTAACTTGAATATTAAACCTCTTATGAAGTTGGGTGTCATCACTACAGTGAAAAGTACTCTCCTATTATCAGGCCATGTGAATCCTAATGGTTTAAGTCTAAAGAAGCTATCTCTTGTATTAAGGTCATCTTCAGTGTCCCTTGACCTTCGACAGTAGATATATTACCAAGTGAAATAAAAATGGGAAAAAATGAGGGTGGAAACATCCAGCTCAAGGATACTGAACACAGTCTTGAATGCAGAAATATACCAATGTGAATACTTCATTTCATGTAATATTCTTCCTAATGTTGAACCAATGTATTCATTTACCATTAAAATTTAGTACAGTTGGATACCAAGCTCTCACAGGACTGTTTTGCCTGGTGGTTTATTAGGGAGTAAAAAAAAGGATTCAGCAAAGGTGTTGAGCACAGCTACACCCTTAGTCAAAACCACACCTTCCTTGGCTGAAGTTTTGACATACATGAAAATGCAGCTTCCACAAGAAATGGAGACAACAATCATGTGTGGGGAACAGGTAGAAAAGGCTTTTTTCCTTTGTTCAGCAGGAAGGGATTCACAGAATTTTCTTAAGAATGAGAACAGGAAACACTTGCTCAGGTTAAAGTTAAATAACAGCGACTATGACCAGGAAGAATCCCAAGAGCTCTAGAAGGGCTGTGGCTGTGCAGGAGAGGAGCAGAATGGGAGAAGAGACACAGGTGCAGTGATCAATGGTGTTGGAGTCACAGAAGTCATCACACGTGGAAAGATGATGAGAAACGCAGCCAGCTAAGCTCATTACAAGCTGCTTCCAGATACTGCTGTTGTTTATTGTGGAGTAATGCAAGGGCCTACAGACAATCACATAATGGTTTTAGGGCATATCAATCACAAGAAAAAATATAGTTGAACTCAGGAATATGAAGAGAAACACCCAAGTCATGCAGGAATTAAAGGAAATAATCATATCCCCTGTTACAGTACTCACCAAGGACCAAGGAATGTACACTGTTGTAAATGAGAATTTTTAGAAAAGTGAAATTCCAAAGAAAAAAATACATGGCTGTTTGAGGTGTTAGTCTATCATAGTGAAGGCAAGAGTTACTAGATTTCTGTAATGTTTAGCATTATAAGTATTTATAACTGAGAATCAAAAGTACAAAACAAAAAATATTTATTTTAGGTCATGTTACAGGAAAATGAACTATTCACAGATGTCTAATTTTTCACTTTTTATCATTGATTTCTGTGAAGTCTGTAAGTAAGAAGATACAGATTTGTAGAGTACAGCATGACTACTTTGTCACATCTGCTACTATCACATATCACACACATATGCATACAGACACACACATGTATATGTACATACATACATAAGTATTTGTATATATACATATATATGATCTGTGATAAAAAAAATGAATCAGTCACCAATTGGTACTAAATATTAAAAACACATACTAACCACAAAAAGTTTGTATTTGGGATATGACTTAAGTTATTAGCTATTCAACAACTGAGCTATATCCCCAGGCCCTAGATGTTATTTTTTAACTATTAATTGTTAAGGAAATATGCAATATTAAGAGCAATGCAAAAAATAAGTCTTGAATTATATTGGATTTAATTTGTCAGTATCTTTTATATTTTCACCAAAAACAAATACTTCCCAAAATAATATAATCTTGAAACATTTAACATTTAAACACACACACACACACACACACACACACACACACACACACACCGCACAGGAAATAAAGCCAGGCATGGTGGCTTACACTTTTAATCTCCAACACTAGAAAGGCAGAGACAGGTGGATCTCTGTGAGGTTGGATGAGGTTGAGACCAGCCTGGTCTACACTGTGAGCTCCAGGCCAGCTGGGGCTACAGGGAGACCCTGCCTCAAACAACATCAGAAAAATAAAAGAAAGAAAACAGTAAAAGTTTCACAGGGACATGAACTGTGCTATTGAAATGTTTCATTAGTGATTGCAAACATACTAAGTTTGCGCTTCAGACAGGATGGATTCTACAGGTAGCACGACATCAAATTATAGCAAAATGAGAGATTACATCATAGATATAAAACTCATGAAACTGGAATCTGAGAAAATCTCCTTAAATATTGTTTTATTCACATTGGAAAAA